TTGTCCATCTATTCAACACTCCAAGTCCCAACATCTCGCATCTTTTTATCATATATTCCCCATATAGAAGCACCGCCATTCAGTGGACATTCCAAGGACTAAACGAGAGGTGGCACACGCACACTTTCTTACGGCTTGCGCTTCTAAGCTACTTCCCACCTTCAACCACCTTGAGTTCCTGGTATATACTAGTTCACTGTATTCATGGCACTGCGGCACAATGCTCGCTAAACCTTTCTAAAACAAAGGAGATTACGCCCAGCGAGTATAACGTAGCAACCTTTCCTGTCAGATAGTGCTCAATGTACATGCCAATGGCTGCTAATGGCGATCGCAGCATGCGCGTTGACTGAAAGCCGAATGCTCCTGTCTCTCATTCCCCATTAGCAGCCATTGGCACGTACATTGAGCACTATTTTTTATTGTTAAAAAACGCACAGAAGAAATATCTCACCGGCACCACCTTGGAGGTCAAATGTTATACCTATTTCGGGTATGTGCCACTGGGGTTACGTACTACGAGGTACGCAGATGCCACGCCATAAGGAGCTTCGCCCCTAAAAAAAACCGCTTTCCAATGTCTCCTAGTGTGATTCAGCGCGCTGGGTGACGCTGGAAACACTGTACACTGTGTCCCAGTATACTATGCGCTACGAGTCACTAGGACACGCTGTAGCGCGTGGCCAGTTTAGGCTATTGCGCTGAAACGCACTGCGCCACACTGTGCAGTTTAGCCTAGGGTCTTAGAGCACACTGGGAGGCACTGGTCATGCTTTGCAGTCTCTACTACATACTGAGAACATTAGCAGCACATTGGAACTAGGCGTCATCGGCACACTTTCTGTCCCACTTCATATTCAATCGCGAGATGTCGAACGTAAAATTGAATTAACGATAAATTGAATTAACGATAAAGTGACCAAATCATGATCTATGCGCTACACATATATAGCTTTACTTTTAGTTAGGCGATGAATCTGCGAGTACGCTAAAGCAATCATCTGTCGATCGCACAGGTCAGGGGCCCTGCCAGGATTGTGCACAGGGGGCGGGGCACCAATGAGAATTGCACTTCTGCAGGTTTTCAAGGAGGCAAAGAACTTTAGCGTCAAGTTTTGACTATGCTTGCTGTTGGGAAGGGGCAAGGGGGCAGGCGAAAATTATGAAACGAAAGGCTCTAGCCCAACCATGCCCCTACTGGCGCGGGTGCGTTTTCTTCACGGTAATGCCATATGGCACCTAAATAAGTTATATTGTGGCCATATAAAAGCAGATATGTCAGCATATGTCGCTTCCATTTACTATATATGGATGCATATCTGGCGGGGTCTGTTCATTCATGAGGTTAAATACAAACATATATGGCACGGTTGGTCCGTATAGTGAGTCAAATCTGGCCTTATGAGGCATTGCCACACCATATAGAACATATCAAAGAGATCTCTATATGTGGTACTGCTCCCATATATGGGGATCAAGCATATATATATGCGTAGCACCACGATCACGATCTCTTATGTGGATTGTCATATATAACAATCCGTACACAAAGGTGACCTGCTTATCTTCTACAAGAGTATATATACATATATATATATATATATATATATATATATATATATATATATATATATATATATTGTTTTTGCATTGCAACAAAACAAGCAAAACTTTAGGTCAGCTTTGCGTACGTGATAGTTGCAACTATGCATGCATTTGTGTAATTTAACTTGTACAAGCTTCCTATGAAATTTAGGTTTGCAACAATGAGTTGAAATTATTATGACATAACTAATTTATGCGAGAGCGGACATACTTTACAAGGAGGAATCGTACGTGTCAGGTCACAAAACGTATTTAAGCTTTTAAACCTTGCTATTATGATGAAGGAGTCCTATGTAGTATTATGCGAAAACGACATGCATGCAACTTATATTGCTCACAATATTGCATTGTTTGGAATGGTAGCGAGAAATTTCAATTTTAATGCATTTTCAGCTTGCGAATTGCTGGATAAACAGCTGATCATTCCCAAGTTTTGATGGTTATATGCTCTCTTATTTTAACAATATATTAAGTAATATTGTTTACCCAAATCTGAGATTGCTGCCAATGGCTATTTCAGCTGCAATGAGAATGCGAATAGCATGTGCATTGCTATTTTTAGAAATTATCTTTGAGAACAAAATAAAGGAAAACTAGTGTAAATGCAATTTGCAGGCATAAGAATGCTTGAATTTAAAACAAAAGTCGCACTAAATTATTGCAAAATATCACCTTGCGTTTTTTTGGCTACCTATTACTTTTTGGCAGTGCAGATAGTAAGTTGATAGAGAATTTTAGGAGTGAACAAGTAAAAAATTTATTTGGTGTAGTGTTGGCAAGCGTAAAATAACTCTCATGCCATACACACTTAACGGGCATACGTTAAGAAGATTGCAGCTGACTCACACATTATAGACATTATTTGGACCAAGTATTGAAATGCTGAAGCTTGATAGCAACCTTTACCGTAAGCTGCTGAATTCACAAAACTTCTATTTCGTGTGGGGGTGTCGAGTTCGCTAAAGCGCACGTGCTCACCAGGATTTGCTTAAACATTACCTTGCAAATACAAATATTATGACACATTTTTGTGGGTAAGGGCTGGTATGATGCCTAAGCCAAACTCTACATTATGTAAACAGCCCTCCGTGATGCAGCTGCGTAAAAATTAAACAGCTTGGGAACGTATGCATTCAACACTGACACTGTGGTGCATTTACTTGTGAAATATTGATGCCAGTACGTAACCACGAAAATGCGCAATTACACACTTACGTATAGAGGTTGTTGATCACCCAGACACTAGCAATTTCTTCAATGTGGCCAAGTATTTTCAGCAATGTGAGAATTGTATAAGTGTAGTAATATTATTGTATTATATTACCGTTATTGATAATATAAATATTGTTTTTGTTGTTATTTTATCGCGTAAAACGTCCAACATGTCTACTCTGTCAATACTGTGTCGTTATGTATTGTTCATGAGATCAGTAATCTTGGTGTTTTTTTTTTTGATAGCACGCAATTTTTTTTTTCAACTCACATTATTAGCGCGGCCATGTGTGGTATTCGTTCTCTCTCTGTTGGCCAAACTCTCTCGAGCGTCCAGTTCTCCTATAGCGTTCTACAAATTGTACACCGCGATGAGTCTTGCTCAACTAGAGTATACGTGCATATCTGATTTGTAATTGCCTTGCTAAGTCCAGCACTAACGCCGCAGAGCATGTCCACGAAAATTCATAGGCATTTGCACTCATCATTTCGCTAGATTCTTGTTCAACACTGCTAGAATATTGTTTTTGCCATGATTTAACGGCCGACAAAAGTTAGTTCAGGGTAAGATATTCTGCCCCTACCGGTTGTATTAGGTTTCCGATTCTACGTAATTTATCCAAAAGAATCTACCGTTGCACGACCTGCCAGCTTCTTTCCACACTCTATCGTTTACAGAATGTAAAGTCCCTCAAACGTCAACTATTTTGATTCGTTATGTTTTTCATATTTCACAGTAATTTTTTTATCAGTGAATCACTGAAGTTCGCCCTGTCCCAACTTCAATTTGCAGATGTACAGATTCTTCTCTTTTTCGTCTTTCAGGAAGCCTTCCACACAGTTGTCTATACTTCACATTATTTTAGTCCCAGTCTATGAATATGTTCTCTTTAATTTATTGTTCCCATTTTGCCTTGGTTTCTTTTTATCTGCGGGTTTATGCTCTTTTCATTGAATTGATTTTCTGTAGACAGTCTGTTATGTAATTTTTACTAATATTGTTTTATTTTTGCGTGCGCCAGCACGAAATATCTTGTGCTTGTTCCTGGATACGTTAAATAAATTATGGATTGGTGATTATCTAATTGAGTATTATTATTAATATAAATGCTTGAGAAATAAAAAGAAAATCTGGCTGGAACACGTCTGGGTGGGAAGCGTACACAGAGCAGTGATTGCAGCTTGACCGAATGAATGTCTAAAAGTAAAGCAAATGCAGCTTTCTGAGCCCGCGGTAAAAATAGCGCTTCGTTGTTCCAAAACCGTCGCCTGACCGCAGTGTAGCCGTTTGCCAGTTTACAAGGGGTGCGCACGGCAAAGAATGTAAAAGGGTGCCAGACGGAGAGGTGAAAAATTCGAGGAACGTTTTTGCATGCAGCAGCGGTCGACACAGCAGACAAAAAAGCACAGCAAACCGTTTCCAATAACGACGGAGAAAATAGTTTGCGCAAACATTTAGTCGTATGATAGTAGCTAACGTGGTTGCTTGGGCGAGTTAGTACGACATGATTCACATAAAAAACAGCGCCAATACATAAAAATACATAAAAACAGCGCCAAAAACAGCACAAGTGGCACATCGGCCAAACAGGCAGGTGTTTAAATGATCGGCTGAAAGAGCAGGCTCACAACGTCTCCTCTACAGTTTCGGGCCACCACGGCATTCATTGCCGAGACTGTGCTTGTGCCCCCGATTTTGTGTATTGTACCGTCATTAGGCGTCATCGGGACCAGATGATACGCGAAATTTATGAGGCTGCAGAAATATAAAAGCTGGGCAGTGTATGTGTCAGCAGGCTTTCGATTGCTCCATCACAAAAAGAAATCGATTTTCTTCAGAGCGTTGCCACACGTATTGTTCATGTTGGGTTATCACGATCACTACTCGGTTGTTAGGTGAACTCTGTTTTCTTTGTTTTGTTTTTTTCGCTTTTTTGTCAAATACTGCTCAAGTATATATTGTGCGATTCTAGCAAATAAATCTTGTTGTAAGTCTGTGCCGCTGTCTATCTACCTCTTTCCTTGTTCCTCGTTATTGGCACTGTTGTTTATGTGAATTGTATGATAGTATTATTGCGTCAATAATTTTGAACAAATGAAACTTCGTTCGCCAATAAGATGAGCAAATTTTAGTTCCAGTGAAAAGCTCCTAAATCATTGATATAAAGGGTATGGCAACTTACACTGTCAAGTCTGGAGCGTATGCATCCGCGCCATTGCTGCTTCTTCGCTCGGCGGAGTCATGGGTGTGGTGCGGATCGTGTTCGTCACTTTTCACTCCTCTTGCTATTATTTCGTGTTCAAATTTTGCTGCAATTTACACAAGATAATAACACAGCTCTCTGAAATATACTGTACTGTACGTGGTGCAATTGTGAACGGACGCACAAGTGTTTTTGTGTGAGTGTGCGTGTGTTGGCCACTGGATTGGCGACTGTCAACTTTTCGTGCGAAAGAAACAATGGACACCAGATTTCCTTCATAACTTCTCCCAAAATCAGTACGAGTGAACGTGGTGGCCTTAAGGTGTAGATACTTTATACGGAATAACAGGCTTCGTTAGAGACAAGTCTCGGGTAGATGTAAAGGCAAGTTCATCATTTTTCTTACCTTCGCATGTTGTTCGCAAATTTATGATAACTCAGAAAACATAGCGCATTGCATGTTTCGTTATAAGTACCTTCATAGTCACCATGGTTACGAGATCAGGCAATTTTGTTTAAGCGATATGACAACACTTTTTTTATTATATTTCCTCAGGACAGTGCTCTATATATTTATCCGGAAATTCTACATCAGCAAACTGTGGGTTTCGTGCCACTGTAATTTTAGTAAAAATATGAATGTAAATATGTTATGCATTTTTCTCGGTTTAACGCTTGAGGAACTACCAAGGATAAATTACAACTTGAGCAATTACAAACGAAAAACAATTGAATATCTCCATCTTCAAATGTGTCACGAGGTTTATGAGACCACGTTTTAATTTGTCTTGCTTCACCTACTTTCTCTGGTTTTTTTTTAAAAAACACGTGTTTTGATAAGAACATGGATGGATGGAAGAAACTTTTTGTATCCGGCGTGTTACTGGGCTGGACTCCCGCCTAGGTGTCGGCTAGAAGTTTTTGCTTCCTAGCGGCTCCCTCGGCCCACTATATTGACCACAGCTGATCGTTCAAGGCAGAACAGAGCGGCACGGCCAGCCAACGCGCGCGGAGGCTGTCGGTGGAGGCCGCGTTCTCGTTAGTGTGTTTAAATTTCTGGCATTCCCATAGTATATATTCTAGGAAATCTCGTGCCTGACAATTTTTCACATTGATCGGTCGCGTAGATGTTTGGATACATAGCATGTATTAGCGCTGTATTACTATAGGATGTGGTTTGTAATGGTCGCCATTGGATAGACTGTGCCTTCTTGAGTTTATGGTGAGAAGGGGGGTAAATATGGCTCTGTAATTTATAATGTTTCGTGATTTCATTGAACCTTGTCATTCGGTCCTCCAAATCCCACACGTTGGGAAATTCTGACGAGGAATGAACTTTTGTAGTAACCCGGAAAGTGAGTCCTCGAGTTACGTTGTGTGCCTCCACGTTAGGATTAATATCTCCCGTGGTGTCGGGTATGTGAGCTGGGAACCAGAGATTGCAAACGCATCTGTCGTCTTGGTTGGTTTTGCCTGTTTTAAGACTACGCATTGCTTCAGGGGAGATTCTGCCATCTGCAAGGTTGCATACAGCTGCATGTGAATCGCTGATTATATAACACGCGTCAGTTTGTGACATGGCCAAAGATATAGGTATCTCTTCCGCCGTTTCAACGCATCTCATGTGTATTTTCAGACTGGTGCTGCACTGTTCCTTGTGGATAACTACAGCCACGACAAAGCTGTTTTTGTGTTTGTAAAGAGCGGCATCTACGAAGACCGCATCTTTGCTGTTTCTGTAGCTCTTTGTCATTGTCTTGGATCTGCTCAGCCTTCTACCTGCGTAGTGCACGGGAGGCATGTTTTGAGGTAACGAAGGCACTGTGAGCTTAGCCTGCACGTCACGAGGAATGTCGCATTTGGTGCCCTAATGCGTGTGGTAAGTGAAGCCTAATTTTTCCAGGATGTATCTACCAGTCATGGTTCTAGAGAGGCGCTCATATTGTGCAATACGTTGCACCTCTATTAGTTCCTCAAGTGTATTATGTAAACCTAGGTCTAGGAGCCTCTCTGTACTTGTGCTTTAATTGCATGAGCCCCAACGCTTGTTTGTAGATTTTTCGCATGAGGCTGCTTAATTTCATTTTTATGCTGTGAACCATCTATGGTATGCAGAACCAGACATACGTAATGTGGCTGATGACAAACGCGTGGATGAGCCTTATGATATTTGCCGCTTTCATGCCGCTTTGCTTACTCGTAATTTGTTTGAGAAACCTTTGCTTCGATATTGCGTACCGTTTCCCCATTGGTGCCTTTGGCTTCTATTATTACCCCAGTACTTTATCTTGTCGACAATGCGTATGGTGTGTCCATCTCGTTCTTTAAGTTGTATGTCTGCGTAGGCATGTGTGTTGTGGTGCTTGGAAGATCGGCCTTTTAATGTTGGTCTATATGGTAGCAGATCATACTTTTCGGCTTAGCATGTGAGACCAGTTCATTCTAGGCATTGCTCTACAGTGTCGATCACTTCTTGTAAATGTTGTTTATGTGACCCATCGCTACCGTTGCTTATCCACAAAGCAATAGCATCTGCATATATTGTATGGCGCAAGCCTTCTATCTTTTCGAATCTACATGGGAGGTCAGTTAGGAGGAATTTAAATAACGTAGTTGATATCACCGATCATTTGAGTGTTCCTTAACTACCCATAGATACTTACTTCGATGTGAGGCGTCCTACAACGATTTCGTCTTGTCTATCCGTTAGGAAGTTCCTGATGTAAATATGCAACCACTCACTTAAACCCAAGGTACTGACATGATTCAGTATGGCTTGGTGGGTGACATTATCAGATCAAGCCCGTGGATGGCTAGAGAGGATCTGCTAAGGTCCTCTATGATCTTGTGTTTTAATTGTAGCATGGCGTGTCGTGTACAGCGATATTTCCGAAATCTTATCATTGTACATGGGAGTACGTTGTTGTCCGCTAAGTAGTTAATCAATCAGGTTAGTAAGGCGTGTTTCATTATCTTACGCACGCAGGAAGTTGGCGAAATAGCTCTTAGGTTTTGATGCTGTAAGCGTTTGCCAGGCTTGGGCATAAGCACGACGTGCGCCGTTTTCCATTGCTGCGGTTTGTGACCTTGTCTCTAGCATTTATTACTAAAGTCTGTTAATTTGCAAATGAACGTATCGTCTAGGTTTCGCAGTGTTTTGTTCACATTGGCAAATGAACGTATCATCTAGGTTTCTCGGTGTTTTGTTCACAATGGCATCAGAGCCCGGTGCCGACGTAGTATTTAGTTTGTGCAGAACTGCTCGTATATTGACTTTGTTGAATTATTTATCATGGGCAGGATTCGGCACTTCTGCGTAATTGACGTAAGTGCATGGTGGTGCCTGGAATATGTATTCAATGCGTGACCTCGTTGAGAAAGCCTTTTTCCTTGCCTTTAAAGACATGCAGAATTTTGTTATTATATTGTCTGTGTACCACTTTTGTGTCTTCGGGGTTTAGGAGGTGTCGAAGTAAGTTCCACGTTTCGCCTAAGCTCAGTTGGTTGTCCATGGCGGTACAAGTTTCCTACCATTGTAAGAAACCATCGTGCATCGTTGGCGACAAAGGTGTTGTGCATATTGCTCAATGTCCTTGTTAAGTGTGGCTTTCTTTTTTCTTGGTGTTCTGTTATGTTTCTGCATTTCACAGAATTTTTGTAGCTCTTATTTGGCTAACCACATATTTAATAACACACTGTCCAAAATTGCAAGTTTGCCTTCTGGTGGGACAATTTTATGGCCTTTGAAATATCCTCTTTTAGATTACCTTTCCATTGGTCAATGTTTTAATGCTTTCTGTGATGCCATTTCGTAAATTTCTGAATTTCTGAAGCCCAGCCAACTGGCCCAAGCTGTTTGTCTATGTGTTTGACGGGCCCCCCTATAAGCTGGGTTTTAATGATAGAACGATCGCTTCCAAATTCGTGCTGTGTATTCAGTGATCGTGCAGATTGCGTGTCCCTAATATTAATAAGGTCGGGCGTGGTATCACCACAGACACTATTTCCCTGCTTAGTGGGCATTGTAGGGTCAGTGATGAGTGTTAGGCCTTCCTCCTGCGAGTCGAGTCAGAGATTCCTGGCCTTTGCCTGGGCATGTTCATAACGCCATGTACAATGAGCGGCATTGAAGTCCGTTCCTATTATTACAACTCGATCGACCACTATGGTAAGCTTGCGCCTAAAGAGAAATGAAAATCTGTGCCGTATGAATTTCGGGTCACTATACACGTTTAGGATGGACACACTGTTCCCTGTCTTTCTTGTGGGTATGATTTCAATTAGTATATTTTCTTTTGTAGCACTAAGTGAAAAATAAGTGTCTTTTTTGAGCTGTTGAAGTAGATAAACATACCTTTGGGGGGGGGGGCACCTTGAATTGATAGTAGGTTGCGCCTGCGCGTTTCTGTGTTCTCATGCAGTTAACGTTTTCTAAAAAAAGTTTAGTTTTAAGTTTTAGGTTAAGTGTTTTTCCTGTCAAGTACGTTCTTTCGTCTACCTTGTGTGCTCATAAGTTTCCACATTATGTTATATCAACTGGCCCGGCATTCCACTTTATTGCACCAAATATATATATATATATATATATATATATATATATATATATATATATATATATTAATATATATATATATATGTATATATATATGATTGTCATAGATGGCCTTAAACAGCAACGTTCATAAATACGTATATAAGAGATTAGATATATCACGTTGTACAACGCCCATATATGGCTACATCAGGTATTGAACATATCTCATTATATAAGACCTATATATTGGGATCTTTTACAAAGCCTGATATGCCCAATTCCTACAGTAGCCATATACGGGGAGTTTTATATGGGCCCATATGTTGGATTTTTGTAAGGGCTTCGTTGAAGCGTGATCGAGTTTCGTCAATGTATTTCGTAAATGGCATCGAAATAGCTGTTAACTAACAACACAGTATCACAGTAGTAATATTCTGATACTTAAGACCAACCTACTCTAGGAGGGAGTCTTTACGGCTCGTACCGCAAGTCCCCGCACGTCCTCTGCAGCGGTTAGTTGCTACAATGCTCAAACGTGGTGTTTTAGCTTTTGATAATTATATTCAAAAGTAGAAAATCTGACCACTCTTGTGTCAGTAACAATCAAAACTACATTTTATTGATTGTTAGACTCTTTCTAATCGAATATCTACAATATTCACAGCGCCATGGCACACGAAATACTGCCCTAAGGCATTGTCGTTTCGGATAGAGTAGTGAAGCAGCTGTCGTACGCAGAACGTGAATGAGGATTACAGGAAATACTTCAAAACAAGTGGCAAAGTATACAGTGTTCAGTGAGCAGTACAGTGCACGCTGTGTTCTACATAGGTAAAACTAACCGCATAGCGAGTCACTGCAATTGTCTTAACACATCTGCGGTTACGCTAACAAGTGCTGCGGCGAAACGTGCCAGATAGATGTTATCCAAGGCAACCAGTAAGAAAAGAGCTAACAATAACCTGTTAGTTTGGCGCGAGCACGAATAGACAAAACATCGTTTCTATGGGACAAATCATAATATTGGATACCCGATTTGTCTTAACATGAAGGTAAAATACACCTATTCTCATCTTTCAGGTGTGGGGTAGTGGGCAGCGTGTCACACTCGGCATGTGTGATACGTTCTTGAGGTTAAGGGTTTGACACCAGCTGACTTACTTTTGGAAGTGAAGCATCTTATAGTATAACCTTGTCACTAGTCACGCGTAACAGAGAGAAGAGACGAGAAAGAGAATTGTATGGCCATTTGTCGTTGCTTTTTTAGATGGCGTTACTCTGCCGCTACTCTCCTCTTCGTTTTGCTGCTGCGCGCGCTTTGCCTGAGCATGCGATCATCAGTGTTACCCACGTGCTATCTGCATACTGCACGAACGAGTGTATCTTTCAGACTTTTAGATAGTCGCTGTACCTGGCGCATCGTTAGTGGGACATGGACAGAGCAGAGTGGCGGGTGCGGTAAACACGCTTGCGCTCGCTTTCCTTCGCTCGCATCTCGGCGGTGTTACCAGCGCGCCATCTGCATTCTCGAACACGAGTGGACGCTTGGACGCCTCCACGCACGGAAGGACACACGGACGGATGGACGAATGGACGCTTCGCCCCACTTGTAAACACCAAGTCTGTGAACATATTGTTATAGTTTTTTCATTGCTTTTTTTCTATTGCTGCACTTATATTTAAGCCTTAAATAGGATGTGCGCATGACCGAAATTAGTAAAAACAGTTAAAAAGCCATATTTCGCCCGAAGATGGGTGTACCAGTGTACAGCGTGCCAGCATGTCTCGTTCAGCGTGCCAAGGTCCCAGTGACTAGCGCCACAAGGTCTAGTGAACACGTATGGCGCTGGAGCAGTGACCGGCTTTTGCGATACAGTGGCTATTCACTTTTATAAACATTAAATATGTACTACTTTGATACAGCTTTCACTTTGGGTTAACATTAAAGGTGAGGTATCTAGGAAGTTGATCTGCGTACTAGTGTTTAGGGCTGCTACTCTCACGATCACAGCGCTTCATATAAGATCATCCCTTATGACGTTTCAAGTAACCTTATAGTTGGAATAATTACACTACTTTAAACAACTGGTTATATAAAAAATTGCGGCTGTTTTCTGTGTATAGGTGCGTGCATATATCTCTAGCGCCACTTCGTAATGTTTTCCAAAATAAAAAAAATGAATTGGCTTAGCTCGCCAATGGCAGGATATATGTAGCTTGAGCAATGGACCGATGGAAGAACCGACCAACCGACAACGAACGGACGACTGGATTGACAGACAGACAGGCAGACAGACGGATAAATGGAAATACAAAAAGACAGACATGCGGATGGATAGACGGACAAAATAGCGAGTGAGCTCACATGAGTCAAGCGCTAGCGCCACTTTATGGGCACCTTGGATAAACGCGCTTTTTTACCTACGGTAACAGAATGGCCATACACAAATACCGAGCTCAGACTAACAACAAATTTATTTTCAGACGTCTTCCTCACACTTGTGCACAACGAATAGGCTTCGCAAAAAGCTGAGGCAAATTAAAAAGGAGTTATCTTCATGCGCAAGCGTACGAAAATTTATGTAGTTTTCAAAAAAATGAATTTCTCTTGAAGAAATATTTTTAGGTGGTGTACTTATATATTTGTTTGCGTGTGTCTGTGTCATCATGTAGGATTCAGTTATGACTCTTTTCATTTTATCGCCCACTTGTGACATAATCGTGGTTTTTTACGAAAAGCGGCGTACACTGTCATTGTGTTACATGTGATGCTGGATCGCCCGGATGCCTAGTAATTTTTTTTTATTTCGCTACTCTTTCATTCTAGGGTTTAAGCACCTGTCCGTCTATCTAATATATCTCCTACCTTCACGCCAGCTGTGCGCCAAGTGACGTAACAACTCCTCGCGTGTGCGCAGCACGGCTCATGCACGGGTAGTGAAACCACTTTGCCTCAGCCAGTGTATTTAACGCTACGATATAACAACACAGTCCCCTTCCATCGGCATGCTTTGCACAACATCGACTGCCAAGTACGTGGGATCTGCCAAATGTTTTGTAATGTGAATGTGAAGAAAGAAAAGTGGACGAAAACATAACTTCCCTCTCATGGACAGAACCTGCAACCTGCGAAAAACGCGTCCAATGGTCTAGAGCCTAGCTACGGCGGCTGTCTTCCCCGTGTTTCTTTTACAGCGAATATATGAGCATTTATTCTTCAAGCCTCAGTCAGCGCCCCTAGTAGTCATTACTCGGTGTGTTGAAGACTGTCTATACACCCTACGAGATGGACAGAAGAATGAGCGCCGCCGTACCTCAGTGGTAGAGTATCGAATTCGAAGGTTTCAGGTTCGCTATTGGTCGGCGAAAACTTATCTTGTTGTCCACTTTCCTTTCTTCACAATTACTTTGTAAACACTTCCAATAGCATGCTTCACATTTTTCTTGGTCTCCCTGTCTCTTACTCCTCATTACTACATAAAATGTCGTATCTATATGCTTTTAAACGCCATCATATCTATTACAGCAAGAGAGCGCTGAGGCATTGAAGATTAGATATATAGGAAGCGGTTACAGTTTGTATTATCAACTGTGTTCGTCCGTTAAAGAATTATTCCAAATTTTCTTTTGCAAAATAGACAGAATTTGCACTCAGAAAACAGTGCAAAAATGTTAACAATGAGGAAAGTTCGTGTAATGCGCGAAAAGGACGTAGCACCGAAAGGGGAGGCCTGTAGCGCTTGAATCATAGTGCGTTCCTTATTTATTGAATAATATATTTCCTTATAGACTTCCTTATTTTTTAGCGTTCACATGAACGGCTAAAAAGTGCAACCAACTGCGCAGCTAAATATCCTTTCTATAGCTAACATCGTCTTTGTAAACTCAAAAGGACCATTAGGCGATATCATTGATAACTCGGGATGAGGGTTTCGCAAGGTCCCCACATAACAGGGCTCCGTGTTTTCAGTTTTATTCGAAAAGATGAAATAAACGTTCCCAGGTAAAATATTTTTACTAATTGTATTTATCCGAAAAACTCTGATTTGAGGAGCAATATTCTCTGGTTCTGTTCATTATCGAAAGGGCGAACTTGAAGCACTCGTTTATGTGGCTTCTCGACTGAGAGGCTTGAAGTTTACCGCGTGTCAAAAGTATTTAAGAGAGTGCACGCTTTGCACGTTTCATGATGGCATTTCCGTGCATTGAGTGAGATAGATATGTCAACAAATGTAGGCGCACCAAGTGCCTGATGGAATTTCGATCAATAGTTCCCTGGCGTCACGCGCACCAGGCGAGAGCAAAGATAGGGCGTGCACCTACCTAGACAACATCGAATACAAGGGGTCCTGAGCTTCGCTGACCGCGGCCGCCATTTTCCCCCTCTGGAGATTTCATTGGAGTAGGCTGTCGCCACGCGGAGTATTGGGTGTGTGGTCTGCTCTCTCTCGTACGTGCACGCGAGAGGTGACAGGGTCAAATGGTCACATCAGTTCAACAAGGAAGGACTACTCACGGAAACGTTCACATGCGCACACTACGCAATTTTGTGGTGTATCAAAAACAGTTCGCGCGAAAAAAATACACACTCTACATAAATAACCTAATAACGTACCTCAACAACTGAATAAACAACTTGTCCTCTAACGCACTAGTTTCTCTGCGTTTTTTTTACCACCTAAAAGTTGAAGTAAAAATTTACTCTTGGGCTGAGTTTTTGAACGTAGGAAGGGAAGTAATTTTTTTCTCCACTGAGGCATTCAGCGAGTACAGAGAGAGTATTTTTTCACTGCCTTCACAAGGTTTTTAAGGTTATTTCTATGAGTTATTTCAGGAGTTAAACAAATAATAAACTGGCGCAGTCGCACAAATCGTCGACGAATATGTTATTCATCAAATGACGGCAGAATTTATGACACAGAGATTAACATGCAAACACACACATGCAACAAATGGAGAATAAAACCACCTGAACACACTGCACGAGTTACCCGACCGTACTTCAACATTGTGGTATATAGGAGTGCGTAATTTTAACCTGCAATGGCGGTAGGAGAGCTGTTGCTTAGCATCGACAAACAATAATTGTTGGAAGTGCAAGCGTAAACTAAAGGTGGGCTGCAAGTCTCCACGAGTCACACCAACCCTATATTATAAGCCCACCCAATCTCACCTTTCTTAACTACTCAATAATTAGCTGGCACACCGGCCTAACGGTCTTACGAGTGTTAGCTCTGCTGGCGTAGAAGTCACAAAATATAGCTATGCACACAAAAACGACGGCAGCGCAGCGGTGGTGCACAAAAACAGTAGCATCACGTATTTAGGATAATGGGCGTAGAATAGTGGTGCAATGTCTGTACCGATGGCGCACTAGGCCTTTTCGAGAAGTACGGATGCGAAGAAAGAGAGCTGGCGATGATATTACATCTTCTGTTTGAATATCGTCATTATTTCAGACACAAATGAAAAAATACGTGTCCACAATCTGCGGCATTTTACGGGGTGATGTACGCGTATGCACAGTGTTAATGTTTATGAAAGGGAACACGGCGACACATACCTGCGCGCTCTGGCTCCTGCTGGCAGTGCATTCAAGCGGGAGCGAGAGCAACCGCAGTCTCTTTTCACGTCATCTCGCGGCGAAGGAAACAGCCGTTCGTCATGCGTTCGTTGCTGATATAGAACAAGCGGCAAGATTGCAACCCCCTCGCCTTCAAGGTGATTACGCTAGAGCCGATAATCGCATTGAAGGGGGAGGGGTTGCAATCATGCCGTTCTATATCCGAAGCGAGTGGTTGTTTTGCTCGCCGGGAGATGACGCGAAAAGAGACTGTGGATGGCCCGCTCCCGTTTGAATGCACTGCCAGCAGCCGCCGGAGCACGCAGGTACGTGTCGCCGTGTTTCTTTCAGAAATATTGACACTGTAGTTCCAACAAAAAAGACGGACCACCTTCCGGGTTTTAACCTGAGCTCACCAGCAACCACTCGTTTGTTCCGCCTGCCTCGTATCGGAGATCGCCTTCGTGCTCGATCTTTAACGACGGTTGGCACATGAAGCGCCTAATACGGACTGCAGTTTACTTCAGCAGACATTGTCTTCTGTGGAATAAAATTGATGTGACGATTGTTTCACCTGCCCGGGATGTGACGATTGTTTCACCTGCCCGGGCGACGCACTCACACTGGCCACTGGCCGACTCATTGACGACGACATAGTGAAGCCTCTCACTTATCGCTTTGAAGTTGTAACTGGTCACTTTCCAGGAAGCAACCACAGACGATGACACCAGATTTTGTTACCGCTGGCAGCTCTTCCCAGTTTGGCACAAAAGCGAGGTATTCAAGGCGTAGAGGTTTGGAAGCTCGCGCTCGGAAACGCACGGTCACTCGATTATTTAAGAAGCACGGGAGATCTATCAGCTCAACCAAACGCATACAACACGAGCTTCTTACACCAGCTGTCTCCAGAGCCAATGGATAGTGAAACTCAATGATTTGCGATAATGCGCAAGACATTTTTCCAGCAGGTGTTTTGCTTTTCTTGGAGCAGGCCCTATTTTTCGTTCACAGAATGCTTTGCTCGCTCGTTGTATTTATGCTGTTCCCTGTTGCGTCAAAAAATGCGTTGACTTGAAGTAAGCCAAGTGGTGCGACAAGGTCATACCAAACTTTGAAAAAAAAAAAAACATCTGTGGTCCTCGCATGCCTTTACGACTCACTGAAAGCGTCACTCGTAGAAAAGGAGGGGGGGGGGGGGGGGCTATGGGTGAAAGTCGCCAAAGCAGCTGCACCTTGCAGTCACGTGGCAAAAAACTCTAAAACGCAGGTTAAAAATCTCGTGATAGAAAGCACCTCACGAGGTAAAACTGGATTTTGAGATCCTTTTACTACGTTCCTAGGGGGTAGTAGTAAAAGTATGTCAGGTACCGACTTTTTCTCCGACACGAGGTAGTAATTTTAAACGCGAGAGAGTTTTAATAGGTCATGAGCCGCAAAACCTTAAACTCGGATAGTTTTTGCTTACAGTGTGGGAAAAAAATGAAAGCTTTGCGGTGACTACATGAACGAGTATAGAGATTTTGAAGAGCCGACGTCCTCTGTAAGAGTCATTGTTTGCAATCTTTCTCGAATGACAGCAGCATCATCATTATTAGCATTATCCTAATCATCGTCATCATAATTTTAATCTCTTGAGGGCCCTGGATGAGGCAATATATAAGAGGGGGGGGAGTAGCGAAATAAACATAAAAGGTCACAATACAGAGAAAAGGAGGTATGTTAGCTGGTTACGCTGCTACGTAACCAGCCAACATGCCTGTTTACACCAGTGCTACCACTGTTCGCTCTAAATCTTCGCAAATTGTACTGAGATTGCAAAACGTAATAAGCAATTTACGTTGCTGATTTCAACTTCTATAGTATGCGGCGGGCCCTTAATTGCGCTTGTTGGCAGGCAGACGTACTCGACATGGACGGCTGCGCTTGTCGTTTGCCATATATTCCACAACATACGACGTGACCAGCGCTAAACGCTGCCTCTCCTTTGATAATACATCTCCGTGTTTCCTCGGCAAGATCAGCGATAGCGCTTACACATACTAGAGGCCCGAAAGACGCCTGATTCTCGAGACGCACACGCTTTCGCGTAGCCTCTATTACCTTTCCTTCCGCCAGATTGAAACGCTCTCCGCGCCACCTACAGGTACTGGAAAGTGTGAATGAGCCACGCGAACGCTTTGGGTAAGGTCCCCATCTAGAAGTGTTTCAAAGCACTGACCGAATTTCCCTTCCCCTATTGCAAACACACCGCCGAGCTAATCTTGGATTTTCAGGGTATTGTGATGCAATAATACACCTTATTAGATGTCTTCGAAAGGCCAGAGGTATTTATAAATGAAGTGTTTTTTAAAGACTGCAAAGGATGTTACCGTGACACATTGGTAACGTGCCCGACAAATGTTGTCGCCGACTGAGAGATCGTGGGTTCAACTCCTGCAACGGAGCCTTCTTAGTCTTCTGATGTGCTATTTTTTAGGCGGCATTACCGTGGTAGAATTGCGTCTCTGAAAGCATTGTGGACCATAGCATAAAGCGCTTCCGTGTTAAAAAAAGAGTCACAGTTTCGCCACAAGGGCGAAGCAATGAACGCCACAGCAGCAGTTTGGAATGTCACGCTTTGGAATGTCAACGAGAAGCAGATCTAAACGTGCAGCACAATGCTGACCCACAAATGGCACACAAAAAGAACAACCGCAGGTTGAGAGCCAACTAACAACGTTTACCGCTGGACACGTAGCGCGCTCTTTAAACGAAAACGCACTAAACGTAATCACAGGTATAGATTAGTGCAAACTGATTAAGTGTCCCAGTTACACCTGGCGGTTCATGAAAAGAGCGCTCTTTTCGCTAACGGGGCCTGTGAAAAGACCGCAGTGACTTTTGTGGGCCTGGAAACTAGCGCATTAGTTCCAGTGAAAGCAGAAGGCACACGATCCTGATTCACCTTACCGAAGAATTTGCAATGCTGATGGCCTATAGGTGGCGCGCCGTTCAATCCAAGATGGCTGCGGAAGGATGATCAACTCGTAAACTCGTATTGGAAAAGACTGGGCGCACGGACCTATTCACCGTGGCGCGTTCTCCTACTGAACTTTTGATCTTCAAATGAATATATATCTGGTCAAAGCTCTTTTCCAAATGATAAAAACTGCTGAATGTTCACTACCTCAATTTCTTGCCGCAGTGCGAAGGGTGGTGTCAGCTGATCTACCGTGCTTCAACGAAGTTTTGTGTAATCCTGAATGTGCTCAGAAAACTGCGCAAACTCCGAGAAAATTTGTGCAGAGCCTGCCTAGCGGATTCGCCGCCGTAGTATGCCACTATAGTGAGTAGCGCGCCGTCGTGGCTGCGCAGGACCGAATGTTTAACATTGTGAAGGTTCGCAAACTTATTACGCCGTCGTCATTACTTGCGCTGTTAACATCATGCAGGTGCTTCTTCAACGGAACACAAACATTCAACTTCCCACTTAGTAGCGCTTGTGTCACAGCCAGGATCAGACAAAGTTCACTTTACTTCACTTCACTTTTATTTCCTTAAAGACCCCCTAGGGGTATTACATAGGGGCGGTGTATAACAAAAAAAAAGAGAACTATACACCAGTGTTTTTAATGGCTTCTGCAAACATAGATGAGTTAGTGATGGCACAGTTGGCGTGAGGAAGGCCATTCCAGTCTTTTGCTGCTGTTACGAAAAAGGAGGCTTGAAATGCAGTGGTCCGGGTACGTGGTATTGCGCCGTTTAACGGACGACCAGTGCGATGGAATATGTGCGGAGGGGGCGTACGCAACAGTACGCAATTGCCTGCACTCGGATGTAGCAGGTTCCATCAGCGGGATCGAAAAAATATTATCGAAACAAATACACGCATACGCTTTTGAAATGCCGAAATTGGGCAAATTCATCGAACAACAACGTTGTTCGGACGGCACCGGTGAAGTGTAGGAGGAGTTAGCGTGGACTGTAGTCGTAACTGCATATTTCATTGCTCTCACCATTTCGCTTCAGTGGTCGAGATCGAGCGTGTTGGCAGCATGAGGTGCTTTCTATTATCCACTATGATTGGGCTACATGCAACATACAAGAAAAACGATGCTTTTATGTTAGCTTGCTGAATAATACTATACAATAAATACAACCAAATTGACTTACGAGCGCGAAAAAAACATTACCGCACGAGGGGACGTGAAGTGCAACTTGCTGCACGTGAGCTAGCAGCTGATCGTTTGTCGTCGCTGTCTCTCTCAGGGCGCTGACAATCATCTACGTCCAGTGAAAAATCCTCGACGTCAAGCCGATTTCTTTTAACATCACTACTGAAAGTAATCTGAGGAATTCTCTCTACCCAATGACTTCGACAGCAAGAACAACGCATCATTCATGACGCACAACACCAAATTGGCGTCACTCGTCATGTTTATCAGGGAATGTAGAGAACATTTCACTCCATTACCCGGCAAGAAAGGAATCACTTTCTGTGTGCTGCCAGCTTTAAACGAACGTAAAAAACAAGAGGCGCAGCGTAAGCAAAGGTTTGAAAGCGCAAATCGTGAGCATGCGCTACCTTTTGCTTACAAAGGATGTTATTAAAATCATTCACTAAAAAGCACTGACGAATGCTATACAGACGTAAAACAAGGCATGTTTCGACAGGAAGCTCGGACGATAGCATTTAGCTGTCCAGCATGGCTGCAGAAAACCTCGCGAAGCTGGTATGTGTACTCTGCGGGGTATATTCGAAAGCGCGAGTTGCCACGTATTTTCACGAAAACCACCCATTTTCCCAGAACGAATCAGATTTATCGCTTCACTGACGGTCCGCTATATTCACTGATGCACGAAGCATCACAAAATGGTTTGTGTTCAATGATTGGTAACTTGTTAATGCTGAGTCTGGCACCGCCGAACTAGGGAGTGTTGGGAGCATCCATCCCCCTGCTGATCATCCTCGATAGAACACTCCTGAATTCAGCAAGGTGTCGCGACAGTCTATGAACAATGCGAATAAGCACGGGCGCGAAAACACGTAACCCCTCCCCCCCCCCCCCATAAGCGTGCAAAATACGCGTGA